CAACTAGACTGAAGAACAAAAGGACAGCAACTTGTCTGTTCCCCTTCCCCCAATTCCCCAGCACTGTTCCCATCCCCACAGTTCCCCAATAAAAATCTTAAAAAAAAAAAAAAAGAAAGAAGGAAATATCTGAAATTAAAAAAAAAATCTATGTTCGTACCGCAGATACGAGTAATAGAAGAACAAAATGAACCCATAACAAGCAGAGAGAAGGAAATAATGACTACCAGGGCAGAAGTCATGAAATTGCAATAGGAAAATAGACAAAATCAATGAAATCTTTAAAAGCTAGTTCATTGAAAACAAAATAAAATCGATAAGCCTCTAGAAAGATTGATAGAAGTTAAAAGAGGGAAAACACATATTACCAATGTCTGGAATGAAATGGCAGATGATACTACAGACCCTGCAGCCATTAAATGGAGTCTCTGGGAGTAACCAGGGTGAGGCCAATGGTGTTCACCAGGTTAATGTAGATTCAGATTTGGCACCTGTCCTGAACCTGGGCCCACTCAGCAAAAGGTACAGAGTACACCGAGGCCATCTACTGCCCCCCGGAGTCCATGAACTACCCAGAGTTGTCCAAAAAAGATTGCAGTGCAGGCCAATGCTGGCTGCCCGCCGCCGAAAGAGCCTCAGCTGATAAGCAAGTTGGGGTCAGGGATTTCCAGGGAGTCACCAGGGTGGGGCAAATGGAGTCCGCCAGGGCAATGCGGATTCAGATTTGACCAAGAGGTGGGAGGTCTCAACATAAGGAAGATGGCATCAGCCCGCCAGTTGCACAGGAGGAGGGCTCAACACATGAACAAGGGTGGCTGTCCCTCTAACCCTTGTTCTGAAGCCACACCACTCAGTCTCTCCTTGTATGTCTCTGGCACCACCTGTGCCACAGTACCTCCTCCAGATCCCAAGGTGAGTGTCTGGGAGTGAATTCAGAAAAGTAGCAGGATAGAAAATTAATATTCTGAAATCAGTTGTATTTGTATACACCAATAAGGAACTCTCAGAAAGATAAGTTAAGAAAACAATCCCAATTACAATTGCATAAAAAAAAAGAAATAAAGTACTTTGGAATAAATTTAACCAAGGAGGTAAAAACCTGTACTCAGAAAATTACAAGACATTGAAAAAAAAATTGAAGAAGACACAAATAAATGGAGGCATATATACTGTGTTCATAAATAAGAAGAGTTAACATTGCTAAAACATCTATACTACCCAAAGGAATTTATAGATTCAATGAAATCCCTATCAAAATACCAATGGTATTTTTCAGAGAGCTAGAACAAATAATTCTAAAATTTATATGGAACCACAGAAGACCCTGAATAAGCAAAGCAATATTGAGAAAGAAGAACAAAGTTGCAGGTATCATACTACTTCATACCAAACTATACTTCAAGGCTATATTAATCAAAACAGCATGGTACAGGCATAAAAACAGACACCTATGTGAAAGGAACAGAATAGAGAGTCCAGAAATAAACCCACCCCTCTCTTTATGTTCAATTAATCTATGACAAAGGAGGCCAGGATATACAATGGAGTAAAGACAGTCTATCCAAAATGGTGTTAGGAAAACTGGATAGACAAATGCAACAAAAATGTATCTAGACAACCTTCTTACACCATATACATAAATAACAATGGATTAAAAATTAAATGAAGATTCAGAACTGTGAAACTCCTAGAAGAATACACAGGCAGCAAATTATTTGACATTACTCTATTTTTTTTTTAGATATGTCTCCTTGGGCAAGGGAAACAAAAGAAAAAGTGAACAAATGGGACATCCTCAAACTAAGGACATTTTGCACAGTGAAGGAAACCATCAACAAAAAATGAAAAGACAACCTACTGAATGGAAGAAGATACTCACCAATGATACATCGGTTAAGGGGTTAATATCCAAAATATATAAGGAATTCATATAACTTAACACAAGCAAACAATTACATTAAGAAGTGGGCAGAGGACCTGAATAGACATTTTTTCAAAGAAGACATACAGATGTTCAATAGACATATGAAAAGATGTTCATCACTAATCATCAGAGAAATGCAAAGTAAAACTACAATGAGATGTCACCTCACACCTGTCAGAATGGCAATCATCAAATCAACCATCAACAAGAGTTGTGGATGTGGAAAAAAGGGAACCCTCATGCGCTGTTGGTGGGATTCAAATTGGTTCAGCCACTATGGAAAACAGTATAACGGTTCCTCAAAAAAGCAAAAATAGAACCACCATATGACCCAGCACTCCTATTTTTGGGTATTTATCTGAAGAAATCCAAAACACAATTCAAAAAGATATATGCATCCCTATGTTCACTGCAGCATTATTTACAATAGCCAAGATATGGAAGCAACCTAAGTGTTTATTGATAGATAAATGGGTAAAGAAGAAGTGGTACATATATACAATGGAATATTACTTGACTATAAAAAAGAATGAAATTTTACCTTTTGTGACAACATGAATGGACCTAGAGAGTATCATACTAAATAAAATAATAAGTCAGACAAAGACAAACACCATATGATCTCACTTATATGTAGAATCTAAAGAGCAAAATAAATGAACACACTAAACATAAATGGACTCACAGATACAGAGAACAAATTGATGGTTGCCAGTATTATACAAAGTAAAATAATATGTCAGACAAAGACAAATACCATATGATCTCACTTATATGTGGAATCTAAACAGAAAAATAAATGAACACACAAAACAGAAATGGACTCACAGACACAGAGAACAAACTGATGGTTGCCAGATGGGAGGGAGTTTGGGGGGCTGGGTGAAAAAAGGTGATGAGATTAAGAAGTACAAATTAGTAGTTGCAAAATAGTCACAGGCATGTAAAATACAGCATAGGGAATAAAGTCAATAATATTGTAATAACTGTATGTTGCCAGGTGGATACTACACTTATTAGGGGTATCACTTCATAAGTTATATAAATGTCTAACCACTATACTGTACACCTGAAACTAATGTAATATTGAATGTCAACTGGAATTGAATTTTTTTTTAAAGATTTTTTATTGGGGAATTGAGGGGATGGGAACAGCTCTGGGGAATTGGGGGAAGGGGAACAGACAAGTTGCTGTCGTTCTGTTCTTCAGTCTAGTTGTGGAGGACGTTGCTTCACTGACCCAAGTTGGCACCATCATTGCACTCTTCCCGGGCGAGGCAGATCAGTCGCCGGCTTCGAAATGGCCGCTCACACCGGCTGCTGGNCTAGTGCCATCTGTTGCAAACATGCGTCATGACTTTTCTGAAGACCCAATATATATGCATCAAAAAGAAGCCTCAAAATATACAAAACATCTTTCCAAATTAGTGCTTTTGTGTTCTTCAGATAAATACCCAGAAGTTGAATTGCCAGGAGCTGCTGGATGTCTGGGGCACTCTGTCTTAGAGCTTTAAAAGTATTGAGTTTGGAAATGACCAGCTTAATCTATATGGGCTAATTATCATTTAATGTCTCAATGCTATTTGGTTAAATTATAGTCTACAGAAGTCAGGATTGGCCTTTTCTGTGCTGAGCTGGAGGTCTGCAGTAAGGGTTAAGCCTGGCAGCTGACAAGCTGACAGGCTCTCAGGCCTGGGTGAGCAGTGTGGGAAGGTTGCTAGATAGATCTCATTCTCCACTGTGCTGCTGCAAGCCTGCGTCACAAACAACCTTGAAAGTTACAGAATGAACTGCCAGCCTGTTAGCAGGTTTTCCTTGCTATACTTTGTCTTGCTTTGGGAACATTTGCTTCCCCACTCCCCTCTCCCCCCTGGGGGAGAAACAGCTTGCTGGCAGAGGTTGTAACTGCCATCCATCCCTTGGGAGATGGGCGGCCTTGGCCTGGAGCAGGTGTGTGTGGCCAGTGTGTGGGAAAAACCCTGTGCCTTGAATAAAGATTCCCCTTTAGACACCCTCAGTAGGATAAGGATCTGATACCCCTCCCGATATTAATTGTTTTATTTACCTTAATCAACTTAGTAAGTCTTATATATTACTATAATCCTATTTTATACACTAAAAGCAATCTTAGTCACAGTTAGTCTCTTAATCTCTTAGTAATAAGCAAAGCATGCACTCTGTACTCTCAGGATTCTACTCAGCTATAGTGTTGGAGATAACTGCTAATTGGCCATAAAACCTCCTCCCAACACCAAGGCTGGAATTCAGCTCTGACCATCAAAGGTAAAGACAAAGTAAGTTAGTCATTAGTATGAAACAAATCCAGCTGTACCCTGTAACAGAAATAGCATGAGATAGTAAATCTCCAGGAAGGACAAACTTCTAAGGAGAATAGACCTTGGGAAGGAAGAAATAATGAAACTATGTAGAAGGCAGATGGGTAAAGGTTTATCTCTGGGAAAAAATAGCTCAATGATGTAATGGTCAACTGTCCGGTATAAAAAGGGACATGCTGTAACAATAAATTGAGACACTTCTCTTCCTGAAAAAGCGCTTCTGTGTCTCTGCGCATTTTTCTTTTTTCCTCGCCAACACTGTCTCCAACCAAAGGGCTTTCCCCTGGACCTGTGGGAGCTGGTCTCCCGCATTGAATAGCTAGAAAACCAAAACAAATGAACAAACCACAAAATAAAAAAATCTCACAGAGGCAGACAACACACTTGTGCTTATCAGAGGACAAGGTAAGTAAAGGGAGGACAAAACAGGTAAAGGGGGTCAATTTTACAGTGAAAGATGGAAACTAGACTTTGGGTGGTGAGCATGACATAGTGTATACAGATGTTGAATTAATGTCTTGCACACCTAAAATTATATAATGATATAAAACAATGTTACCTCAATTTTACAAATCTATATCTATGAAATAAAACTAATATAATTGAAGGAAGAAATAGACAAACCCACAATTTTATTCAGGAACTTCAATACCCCTTCTCAGAAACTGATAGAACTACAAGGTGGAAAATCAGCTCAGATATAGAAGAAATGAACATCATGATGAACCAGAATGATGATATTTAGTTGATATATAGAACATTCCAAACAACAGCAAAATACATATTTTCTTCAATTATCCACAGAAACTTCACCAAGGGAAACCACATGCTGGACCATAAAACAAACCTCAACAAATTTAAAAGAATGAAAATCATACAAAATGTTGTCTCTGACCAAAATAAAATCAAACTAGAAATCGATGATTGAAATATAACAGGAAAGTCTATACACATATGAAATTTAAACATTTTTATAATCAGTGGATCAAAAAGATAGCTTTAAAGGAAATGAAAAAATTTAGATAACTGAATGAAATGAAAATATAGCATATTGAAATATGTCATTCAGGGCTGAATGAGAATTTTACAGCATTAAATGCTTACATTAGAAATAAGGAGGGCCGGCCAAGTGGCGCGATGGTTAAGAGCTGGTTTGGGACGCCAGAGGGCCCCAGTTCGGATCCCACATATGAGGACTAGTGACACTGCCCTCCACAGCTAAGATGCTGAACAACAACTCAACCTGGAGCTGGGCTGCCGTGAGTCGCCAGCAACGGCGTAGGCTGCAGCCCCTGTGGCAGTGGGTTGCCATGGGCTACCGTGTAGCCAGCGACCAGTGTGAGCGGCCAGCAGCCGCAGTGAGCGGCCGTCCAGAAG